TTCTTGTCCTCTTCACAGAAGATCTTATTTGCCTCCTTGTGAGTCCCACACATGTGTTCCTCAGAGCTCAGGAATTGCCAGAGACTGGCTTTTCTGACAATGGCCATCAGATTCTTCAGAAGAATATGAATTTTAAAGGCTATCTTGTGTGATGGTTCTCTGCACATTGGGAAATGGGCAGGAATAGAGACTCTTTGCCAAAAAAGGCAAAGACAGAGTCTATAAAAGCTGTGCCCAGAGTCTATAGTGACTGGGTCTAGAAGGAAGTTGAGGCAGATGAGGCAGGTGAGTTCTTTCTGGAAGACTTGTGGGATGTCTGAGTTCATTTTTCTGAGGGAAGAAAACCAGAAGAACTTATTCTTCTGTCCTGGAGAGACAAAGGTCTAAGCAAAGTTTGAATTAGGTTATGATTCAATAATAATACTGGAGCAGATCAGACTTTAGTTTTCAGGCGACAGAAATAGAAAACTGAAGCACAAAGAAAGATACAGCTCTGTAGAAAACTGTATTGGTTGCCTAACCAATACACATCCACATCCTCAAACTCTTTCTTCCTATATAAAAGAACTTCCATTTTTCTGAGGTATTCGTGTCCTTTAAATTGCTTGGACCAATCTGTAGCTTCAGGGGGTGAATCCTGACTGGTCTGAAAATCAATCATAATGTTACTCGCCAGTGATTGGCTTAGGGAAGGACAGCTAACTGAGCTTTTCTTTCATTATTTCACTTCATTGTCACAAACACCCGATCATGATGACTTGTCCAAAATCACAGTAAGTATTGCAGTCAGAACTTAAACCTTTGACCAAAATCAAACCTTTACTCTGCAAGATACGATAAGCAAAAACAACCATTGTTTTCTAAGCAACTATGTAAATTCAATCAACAAGCATTTTCTTGCCTATTTATTGTTCCTGGCACTGTCAATTTGGGAATATACTGGTTGACACAACAACATACTTGAGATAGATAGATAATAAAATACTTCTAACCCATTTACCTGTACTAAGTAAAAAATTTCAAAATATGTAGACACTATATTCTGAGTCCTTATAATCCATACAGTCAAAGAATACATCAAGTAATAGACCAGAAATTATCAAATTAATTAATTCCAAAGACATGTAGAAAGACAAGAAGACAAAATAGTTTAATTCATAAATAGGTTAAAGGAATGAAGTCATTTTTAAAATTCAGCAAATATAATCATTTCATAGAAACAACGTGAGTTTTCTGATAAGTTAAAATTCAGACATTTTGTTAGTTTTGGTTTCAGGAAATAGTGGGGAGCTCCTCTTCTGTAAATTAGGTACTTACCTAAGAAATATATCTGTGGTCTAACCAATGCTTGCTACAGAACTAATAACATGAAGTCAGCTCAGTGATCAGGACCTCACAGTGTGGTGGCAGTATCTTTCAGAAGTCTCAGCAAACCTGTTCCAAAGCCTCCCTGTTCTGTGGAAGAATGAGCTTGGTTCCTGGAATGGTCTTTTTTTGAGTCTCCGAAGACCACACCCATTTCTTCCAAGAGATTACATTTCAGGGGTCTGAAGATAGGTGCTAATACAGATGATCAGTTTTCTTCAAAACAAAGGATTAATTTAATACCCTTGTTAATCTCCATAAACAAACCTCTGCAAACATCATCTCATCAACAGACACTAGTTTTACAACAAACGAACCCCCTTTCTGCTGACTTTATATCTAAATTGGGGGGGAGGGTGGTCAAGAACTTTTAGTTTTAACTTATTAAAAGGTAGAAAGGAAGATTTTATCAGTTAATGGTTTTAACCTATATTTTCGAAAACTTTTAATATTTTGTGTCTTTGTTTAATTAAATTCTGTCATGTGGGAAGTGCTTTATTTTATTTATAAATTTATTTTTGTGTTTTAATGTAAGAATTTAATATAAGAACAACTTTGGCCCCTGCTTTAGTATGGAGATTTCTCCTGCTCCTCACACTCTAGGTCAAGCCTCCCTTGAACTCCCAACAAGGGCAGTAAATAAGATTTTCTGTTTGGCGTTGTCCAACTCAGCTCAGGGCTAAAGAAGAGAAAGGCTGGGGAGAATAGGGAGCCCCAGCTCACACACATCCAGGGCCAGGGTAGTGTAATGCACGTCGTACTCATAAATTTAAATTTACTTCTATTTGAGAAGGTAACAATGGCAGGGTTAGATCTCAACCCATCTTTTCCACTGCGTTTGGTGTGGGGTGAGATGCCCCATCAGACCCTTGAAAAAACTCCTCTTCCTAGTTTGAAATAAACCTCTTTCTAGTTACCATTAGCTCCAGATATCCTTCATGCAGTCATGGGAAACCAAGCTGTGAATTCTGGAGAAGCTCAGACCTTGTGCAGACCTGACTCCTTTGAGATCCACTTCAGCTATGCAGAGACCACAGTGTCCAGCAACAGCCTGAGCTGGGTGAGAGAATAAGGCTCTGAGGAGCAGCAAGCAATGCCAGGAGGAGAGAAGGTAAGGAAGGAGCCTCTGATTCCAGCACTCCGCTTTATATCTGTGAGAAGCTCAGCACCCATAAGGCCATCATTCCTTTGCCTGACTCCTCTGAGATCTGGAAGTTTCCCTGGCTTAAGCCATCCAGGGATAGGACAGGAGATGCCATTTGGTTCTGGGGAAAGAAGAGAAAGGCTGGGGAGAATAGGGAGCCCCAGCTCACACACATCCAGGGCCAGGGTAGTGTAATGCGCGGCATACTCATAAATTTAAATTTACTTCTATTTGAGAAGGTAACAATGGCAGGGTTAGATCTCAACCCATCTTTTCCACCGCTTTTGGTGTGGGGTGAGATGCCACATCAGACCCTTGAAAAACTCCTCTTCCTAGTTTGAAATAAACCTCTTTCTAGTTACCATTAGCTCCAGATATCCTTCATGCAGTCATGGGAAACCAAGCTGTGAATTCTGGAGAAGCTCAGACCTTGTGCAGACAGGAGTCCTTTGAGATCCACTTCAGCTATGCAGAGACCACAGTGTCCAGCAACAGCCTGAGCTGGGTGAGAGAATAAGGCTCTGAGGAGCAGCAAGCAATGCCAGGAGGAGAGAAGGTAAGGAAGGAGCCTCTGATTCCAGCACTCCGCTTTATATCTGTGAGAAGCTCAGCACCCATAAGGCCATCATTCCTTTGCCTGACTCCTCTGAGATCTGGAAGTTTCCCTGGGTTAAGCCTTCCAGGGATAGGACAGGAGATGCCATTTGGTTCTGGGGGCAGAGGGAAGGGGCTCAGCAGGAAAAGTGTCCCTATGGGAAGGAGACCCAGCTGGGCAAGTGCATAGGTTCACAGGGCAGGGTATGGGTAGGGTGGGGTGTACACTTTTAGAAGCCGCAAGTCCCCCAAATCACCTGCCATCAACTTCAGTGCATAGAAGTCAGTCAAATGGAGGAGGGGTGGGCCCAGGGAATCTGGAAGAAGAGAGGTGAGAGACTAGTAGCTGCAGGAGGGCGCTTTTTCTGTAGAGGTGACTGGACAGAGCATTCTCCCTTCTTAACTTCAGAAACAAACAATGCAGGGTGAAAGTGCTGCCTACGCACTGGGGCAAAGGCAGGAGAGCACTTCTCTCTGGTCTCCTCCACAAGAGTCCAGACCAGCCTCACAGTCAGAGAAGTCTGTGTGGTTTCCCACCTCCTAGAGCTGCTCCTATAAGGGGTCCCCAAATTATCCACCTGAACCAGGGACCACCAGCTTTTCTTCAGGTTTTTTTTCCCCCCAGGAGGAACCATGCCTACACTATGACAAGGTCCAACAATTTCAAATTCTACCCAGCCTCCTGTGTCAATATGAGGCATATACTAGTCAGAGGGAGGGTAAAAAATATGTATTGACAGTGGTTAACTAGAATTATAGGTATTAAATATTTGGTATGTGGGCTTCAGTGAGTATTCTTACCTTTTTTTTTTTTTTTAATTTTTTTATTTTTGGTGGCTTGGTGTTACAAGGCCCCACTTTAACCAGCTGAGCTAACCATCCCTCTTCTTGCCCTTCTAGAACGAATATTAGAAGATGTCTGTGGGAAAACAAAACATCTTGCTGAAAGATTAAAAGTCAGAATAAGAAGCTTGGTGGAATGGGTACCAGTCATTAAGTGAAATCTTTTCTTGACACCGACCTCAACAGAATAGTGCCTGCTCCCAAGCCTTCTTTGAAAACCACTTTTCTAGGCCCGGTCTGTGGCTCACTTGGGAGAGCCTGGTGCTGATAACACCAAATCAAGGGTTAAGATCCCCTTA